ACAGTTAGTGCCCTTCTTAATGCTTGTTGGAAAATTCTAGTGATGAGGCATTTTTCACTGTATTTCATTGTATTTTTCACTGTAAATATACATGACAATAAAATCATTCATTCATTCTGCCAAATGATTTTGACAGTCTGCTCAGGAAACAACCCACAAGATCCAGTATTTCCCACAGGATCTCGAGGATACTACGTACTGACGACTTCCTGATGGACTTGTGATCAAAGGTGTTTCTCTCTGCAACTTTCTCTACGAAGGACAATTTTTACAGAATCGTTAGACTACTTGGAGCATTCTGCAGCAATGAAGCCATTCCAATCCTTTGCAACACCAGGGACAAGTAGAGCCTCGGTACTTGGTGTTTGTGTACCGAAGGTCAATGCACAGCTTGATATAGCCACACAGAAAGATGGCCATTGGGATGAGGGCAATGTTGGGTACGTTCTTCCCCGTCTTATCCTGAGTTTTGTACATGGTGTCCCATCAGACATGGTCCATCTTAAACTCAGATGAAGTGGGAAGTGGCTCGGGTGACTGTAACGGTGCAGCTTCTGGCAACGGGCCAGACCTGCACTACATTCAACAGTGAAGTGCCTCACACCTGATGACCAGGTGTTTACCCTCAATGGAGAGGAAGCGGTGCTCCCAAAAGACCAGGTTCGGTCTCACTTTGGCGATACACTCCTCCCAAGATTTTGTGCACGTCCCAGCCCCTCCGAACCATATTCCCAGCACTTCTGCAGCATTTCTGTATGTATCGTCTGCTATGAGGAGGCACCTGCCCACCACCTCCTTAACTTCGGAGATGGTGAAATTGCCTCCTTGCAGCAGAATACCCAGGCCGGAGGAATGGCAATCATTTTCCCCCAACCAAATCAAAGGCCCATAACCCGACCATTTCCTGTAGCTGCTGAGGTGTGGTATAGAAACAGAGAAATATAGAAGATAGAGGCAGGAGGAGGCCATTCCACCTTCTGAACCTACTTTGCCATTCTTCACAATCATGGCTGATTGTCCAACTCAACAGCCTAATCCTGCTTTCTCCCCAAAACCTTTGATCCCATTCATATCATGTGCTATGTCTCGTCGTCTCTTGATTACATTCAATGTTTTGGCATCAACTACTTCTTGTGATAATGAAGCCCACAGGTTCACCATCCTTTGGGTGAAGAAATATCTCCTCATCTCCGTCCTAAATCATCTACCCCAAATCCTCATACTGTGATCCCTGGTTCTAGACACACCCACCATCGGGGACATCCTCTTTGCATCTACCCTGTCCAGTCCTATTAAATTTTTATAAGTCTCTATGAGATCCCCCCCTCATTTGTCTGAACTCCAGCAAAAACAATCCCAACCTAATCAATCTGTCCTCATACGTCAGACCCGCCATCCCTGGGATCAGCCTGGTAAATCTTTGTTGCACACCCTTGACAGCAAGAGCATCCTTCCTCAGAAAAGGAGACCGAAACTGCACACAGTATTCCAGGTGTGGTCTCACCAAGGCCCTGTACAACTTGCAAACCCCTGAAGAAACAGGAGGTCCGCTTTGACATTGACCAGAAAAGCCAGTGTGGAAACACATCACATAGTAGATTTAACACTTCGCACGTTAATACTGGCAATTTTAAAACCGATTTTGAGAGTTCGTAGAATTACCTGTAGACCCAATACTCATGCACCCACAGTATTGTCACTTGGGAAACTCAGTGTCAGATTGGCACTTTATCTCTTTCCAGGCAGTACTCACTCAATGTGTAAACCTGGTTCCTGAGCAGCCAAGCCTGTGTCCATGATCCTGTTCTCAGCTGTGGCAACTGAAAAGACTTCTCTCAGAATCCTCCATGGTTGCTTCTCACCAGCGCCCTCTGTTCGAACCAATTTTAGTTCATTGAACAGTGAAGTTAAAGAGGTGGGGGGCGGATGCCTCCTCGTAGCAAGACGGTACATGCAGAAATGGTGCCCTGAGACTAATTAACTTACGTCCCGGTGGTAAAGAGTGAGTGGCTAGCCGTCCTGCAGCAGCTCCCACTGCTGATGGTGACATCTAGGCCCGTCATTGTGGCCGGAGACTTCAACTGCATCATTGATGCAGATCAATCATCCAGAGGGGCTGACAGCTAGCCAGGCGCCATGTCCAGATTCCTGATGGAAACCGTTCAAGTCGCTAAGCTGCACGACATGACATGGCCAGAGCAGTGCAAGGCATAGCTTAAAATAAGGTGTCAAACTGGAGGAGTTACAACACAGACCCACTTGCATATTAAACCACATAAGCAGCAAGTGATGGACAAGGATAGATAACCCACATCAGTCGAATAGATCTAGGTTCTGCTGTCTTGCCACACCTCATTGTGAATGGTGGTGGACAATTAAACAAATAACAAGATGTGGAGGCTCCACAAATATCTCCATCCTCAACAGTGGGGAGCCCAGCATATCAGTGCAAAAGACAAGGCTGAAACATTTGTATTTATCTTCAGTCAGAAGTGCCAAAGGATGATACATCTTACTCTCCTCTGGAGGTCCTGTTCTTCAGCTAATTCCATTCATTTCATGTGATATCCAGAAATGGCTGAAGGCATTGTACACTGAGAAGGCAATGGTCCTGTCAACATTATGGTAGTAACACTGTAGACTTTTGCTGTAGAACAGGCTGTGCTCCTAACCAAGCTGTTCCGTTGCAGCTACAATATTGGCATCTACCTGATGAAGTGGAAAGCTGCGCAGGTATGTCTGTGCACAGAAAGAAGGACAAATCAAACATGACCAGTTGCCACTCTAGCAGGTTACTTGAGATCACTTGAGAATGATAGAAGCCCTTGTTGACAGTGCTATCAAGCAACTCTTACGAGGGAATAATCTGCTCTGAAGCCCTTTTGGGCTTCGCCAAGGTCACTTGACTTCTGACTTCATTTCAGGTTTGCTTCAAACATAGAAGAAAAGAACCGTATTCCAGAGGTGAAGTGAGTGTGGTTGCCCTGAACATTAAATCAGCATTTGATTGAGTCTGGCATCAAGGAGTCCTGGCAAAACTGGAGTCAGTGGGAATCATGGGATTACTGTCCGCTATTTGGAGTTACATCTAGCATAAAAGAGAATGGTAGTGGTTGTTGCAGATCTATCGTTATCTTATTCCTCAGAATAGTGTCCTAGGCCTAACCATTTTCAGCTGTTTCATCAATGACTTTCCCTCCAACATAAAATCAAAAATGGGGAAGCTCATTGATGATTGCAGAATGTTCACCATTCATGATGACTGGGTACTGAAACAGACCGTGTTTGTATGCCTTAATACCTGGGCTTGAGCTGCGAAGTGGCAAGTGGCATTTGTGTCATTCAAGTATTAGGGAGTGACTGTCTCCAACAAGAGAAAATCTAATTCTCGCCTCTCGATGTTAAAAGGCATTATCATTGCTGAATGCCCCAGTGGTAACATTCTGGGATCACCACTGAACAGAAACAGAATTAGGCTAGCTATATATTTACTGCGGCTGCAAGAAAAGTTTGGAGGATAACAACTTGTTGTGTCCCCAGTGCCTGTCCACTGTCCACAAAGCACAAGTCAGCAGATGGAAACCTCTCCACTTGCTTGTATGGCTGCAGCTCCAATAACATGAAAGCAGCTCAACATCAGCCAGCGCAAAGTAGCTTGCATTCCATTTATCCCTTCACCATTCAGTCTCTCTGATACCAGCCAACAGCTGTGTGTACAATTTTTAGGATGCTTTGCAGCAACGCTGGATGCTCCGATAACATTTTACAAACTTGTGACTTCTACCACCCAAAAGGACAGGAGCAGCAGATGTATGGAAACACTATCACTTTCACGTTTCCCATCAAGCCACATACCCTCCTGACTTGGAATTATATCGTTGTTGCTGGGTTAAAATCCTGGAACACTCTTCCTAAAGATGTTGTGAGTGCCCCTACACCTGTAACAGTTTTGGAAGGTGGCTCACTGCTGTTTTCTTAGCCAGAGGTGATAAATTCTAGCGTAGGCTGTGATACACACAATCCAATGAACGAATAAAAAACAAAGTGGAGTTGAGGCAGAAGTCAGATGTGATTTTGTTGAACGGTAGGGCAGGCTCAAGAGAATGTACAGACTACTCCTACTTCTATTCCTTTTCTTACGTGCTATCGACTCTGCGTTAATGAGGAGCAGAATGATCTGACCTGAATTTGATCCCCTGGGACTTGCAAGGGAGTCTTTTCTCAAAGCTAATCATGAATTTAATTCCCAAATCAATGCACACACTGGCATCTGTTCTTCATTAAAATTAGTAGAATAACCCCATCACACTTTTTTGGTAGCCTGATATGAGTCTCTGACTTTCTATCCTAAATCTGGGCCAGGGAGGTTTGATTCTCTACATTGTTGTACAATGAGACAAATTATGCCTGTTTCTACCAAGGTCGATAGCAGCAGCTATCATAGTAATAATGATCAAGTTAAAAAGGCTTAATCCACGTGAAATAAGTAACTCTGAACTTGTGTTTATATTTATTGAAAGAAAAGCAATATCTCATTTTATTGACAATTGTGAGGAAGGGATGAAAAAAGCAAGGGAAAAAGTGAGAATTAGTAACCGTACCCATTGCAGGCAAATACATCAATGTGTGTGTCTGTTCAATGAGTCCTGACAGGTGAACAAAATCTTTAGCAAACCGGTTTATGTTAAGTTAATAAGAATTGACTGTACTTGTAGTTCCTCCGTACATGGAATGTGGCTGTCTCACTAATCAGATGAAAAGCAGAGATTTATGATTTCAAACAAGACTTTTATATTGTATATATGATTTTTTATGATCTCAAAATGGATTTATTTTAGGAACAGCAACTAATTTTTGCATAAAATATAATTTTTAATTTATTGCGTTTCTGATGAAGGCAATATTTTGCATTATGCAGAGAAAGTCCAGAAAAACATACATCAGGAAACTGATTCCAGCTGTCCTTCATTTTTCCCTGTTTTGTTGTCCGGAATTTTCAGATGATTCTTCGTTTAAAGAAGGAAATCCAGCAGCTAAAAGAGGAGCTGGCCATGGTCACTGGAGAGACAAGGGCTGACAACCTCTCACAGGAAGAAACACAGAAGTACCTTTTGTCTTTTTAAATTTTTTAAAAGAGCAAACCAATGCTAAGAGTTTCAAAATAAATGGTTTTATTGTTTTTGATAAAGTATTGGAATATAAATATACATTTAGCACATCTTGTTTAGGAACAAATGTCATTAAAAATCCCAAGGTTCTTCTATTTATTCAATGATGTGGCTAGGCCAGCATTTATTGTCCATTCCTAATTGCCATGGAGAAGACTTCTTTTGAGCCGGATTTTTGAATTGCTGCAGCCCTAGAGGTGTAGTGGGACCCATCGTGCTGCTAGAAATGGAGATCCAATTTAGCTCCAAGTCTGGATGGCATGTGGCTTGGAGGGAAACTTGTCAGTGCTGGTTTTCCCGTGCATATGCTACCCTTGTCCTTCTCATGTTAGTAGAGGTCATGGGCTTGAAGGTGCTGGCAAAGGAGCCCGAATTGCTGCAGTTCATTTTGTAGATGGTACATCCTGCTGCCACTGTGTTCCAGTGGCGAAGGGAGTGAATGTTGAAAATGGTAGCTGAGATGCCATTAATAGAGAACCTCATTGATATTGTAATATTTCATCCACATAAAGTATGTTCCCTGAGTGGGATGTATAGTTCTGTTAGCTGAATTGTCAATGAAAAATAAGGAACAGAAATGTTGTTTATGTACAGCAGGCAGTTAGCATCCTAAAGAAAAAAAAAGCCTAATTGATTTAACAATAATCCTTTCTCAGAATCTATGGTATGTATTTCCAGATTTCCATCATTTACAGGTTATCTCTTTAATTCTTCCATGTCCCACATCCAAATAGTATGAATAGTGGAAATCTGGATATTGAGTTCATTGGCATGGGTGTCAATCAACTTGCGCATATGTTTTTATTCTGAACAATTGAAGTTTGCAGTGTTCACAACAAACCTCGACACTTTGGCTCCTGTTTTGAAGGCTCAGCTCCTGTTTGCCATTGTAAACATGGTAACAGCAGAATCTTTACATTCCATCTAATCTGATTTGCACCTGGGTTGGGAATGCTTGTTATTGACCCAAGTTGCAATATGTGGAAGAGTTTTCTGTTCAAAGCACTCATATCTTTAATTGCTTATGGCACAAAATTCCCTTCATTGTACTGTAAAAAGAAACCAGTAATGTCTAAAATATTATTTCAAGTGTTAACACTGATGCAAGAATTAGTAGCAATAACTTTTCTTCCTCAGGAGCAGTAACATCGAGAGGTCAAAGTCTTATCTTTCCCTGTCCCAAATGGGCTATATATCTTACTCTGCAGCAGCTGCATGGCTCAGTTTCACATATTCAAGATATTGACAAAGAAATACGTAAGAGTTACAAGATAGAAACAGTTGAGTTACCTCATCTAGCTTGAGAACAATCATCCTTCAAAGAAGAAAATGCAAGATTACATTAAAAACAGCACCTTTCATGAGCTAAAGTGATCCCACGGTTTGCTTTCAGACAGGTACTGTTAAAGTGTAGGTGCTGTTGTATTGTAGAAGATGTGGCAGCCAATTTGCAAACAGCAAGTTCTCACAGACAGTAACATGGTAATGATCTAGTAACCTGCTTTTAGTGAGATTAGGAGAGAGAAAAATGTTGTTCAGGACTCTGAGGAGATTCACTACTCTTCAACAAAATAGTGTCAAAGAATCTACTTTTGAGGGCAGATATAATGTCTTATATCGAATATCTTTTCAGGGAAGCAAACCTGCCATCCTTACTTGGTTGGGCCTATATGTGACTCTGAACCAAAGCAAAATGGCTAACTCTTAACTGCCTTCTAATAGCCTACCAAGCCACTCAGTTTAAGGGGAATTGATAATGGGCAATAAATGCTGGCCTTTCCAACAATGGCAATATTCCATGAAATTATATAATGTGAAAAATAGCTCCTGCATTAGCACTGCTTCATTGAGTGTGCTAGAATCCATAGCCATTTGACTCCTCTGAGTATATGCATGTTAAACTGGGAGCACAAATAGGCCAGTCAGACTTCCAAGCTTGCTTGGAAGGGGTGTAGTTCTCAGTGCGTGTCCCCTTTCCCAATGCCGGGTCACTAAGTCAGGTACTGAGTGTTTCACACACCAATGTCAGTATGTTGAACCAGGCAGCAAAAGGCTAGAATTTACCATAAACATTAGTTTCCACTTTTCCTTCTGGTTCAACTTCTGTCTAGGAGCTAACATGTTACTGGGGAACATGTTAGAATCTGTTATAAAGGTTATAATAGCACAGCATTTAGAACTGTATAATATGATCAAGCGCAGTATGGCTTCATAAAGTAGAAATGATGCCTGACTAGAATTCTTTGTGAAAAGCAGGATAAATAAAGGGGGAGCAGTGGATGTAATATGTTTGGATTTTTGATAAGGTGCCACACATTAGGCTACTTTATAAGATATAAGCCTATCGTATTGGAGGCAGTATGTTAGCATGGATTGGCTAACTAATAGAAGACAGGGAATTTGGATAAAAAGGTGTTTCCAGGATGGTAACCTGTAACTAGTGGAGTCCCACAAGGATCCTTGCTGGGGATACAATTATTTACAATGTATAGTAATGAACTGGATGAGGAACGTGAATACACTATAGGTTTGTGGATAACGCAAAAATAGGTGGGAAGGCAAATGGTGAGGATGACAGAGTCTGCAGAGGGATGTTGACAAGTTAAGTGAGTGGGCAAAGAAAACTTGGCAGATTGAATATAAAGTGAGAAATTGTGAGGGTATGCACTTTGACAGGAAGACTAGAGGAGCTGAATATTATTTAAACATAGAAAGCCTGCAGAAAGCTAAGAAATAAAGGGATTTGGGAATCCTTGTCCATAAATCACAAAAGTTCATCTAAGTTCATCACATCCAAGTTCAGTTGATAGTAGAGAAAGCAAGTGGAATGTTAACCTTTATTTCAAAGAGAATGGAGTATAAAAGAAATTTTTCTGAAACTATGTAAGGCACTGGTATGACCATAACTGAAATACTGTGAACAGTTTTGGTTCCCTTATCTCATGAAAGATATATCGGCATTGGAGATGGTCCAGAGATGGTTTGCTAAGTTGATACCAGGCATGGAGGGACTGTCTCATGAGGAGAGGTTGAGTAGATTGAGTAGATTCTTGTTGGAATGTAGAAGAATGAGAGGCGACTTTATTGAAACAAAGAAGATTCTCAGAGGACTTGACAGGGTTGATGCAGAAAGGTTGTTTCCCCTTGTGGGGGAGTTGAGGACCAGAGGGCATAATCTCAGAGTAAGGGGTCACATATTCAGGACAGAGTTGAGAAGAAATTTCTGCACTGAGAGGGTTGTGAATCTGTGGGATTATTTACTACAGAGGGCAGTGAGGCTGTGTCATTAAGTATCCTTTTTTATAATTTATTCATTCATGGGCTGAGGACGTCACTGGCTAGGCCAACATTTATTGCCCATCCCTTATTGCCCACAGGGTAGTTAAGAGTCAACCACATTGGTCTGAGTCTGGAGTCACATCTCGGACAGACCATGTAAGGATGGCAGTTCTTCCCTAAAGGACATTAGTGAACCAGATGGGTTTTTGTGACATTCGAAAATGGATTCCCGGTCATCATTAGAATCTTAATTCCAGATTCCTTTTTTTAATGAATTCAAATGTCACTATCTGCCATGGTGGGATTTGACCGTTATCGAGGTCTCTGGTTAAAAGTCTTGCATTAACACCACTATGTCGTTGCCTTCCCTTTAAGGCTGAGATAGGCAGATTTTTAATCAGTAAACGTTATGGGGAGAAGGCAGGAAAATGGAGTTGAGGATTATCAGATCAGCCATGATCTCATTGAGAGGCAGAGCAGGCTTGATGGCCTGAAAGTGTGCTTCTGCTCATTCAACTTACGTTCTTAACATAGGAACAGGAGTAGGCCATTTGTCACATTGAGCCTGCCCTACAATTCAATACAATCATGGCTGACCAAACACTTCAGATATTCCTCTGGTGTTCGAACCCTCTGGCTACACAGATCATTTGCTTTCTTCATTGCCTGCCGCACCTACATGCTTCCTTTCAGTGACTGGTGCACAGGGAATAGTATTTTCCCTCCTGCCCTTAAATCTCACCAGTTTCCTCACTTTCATATTTTCCTTCAGTCTCTCTCTCTTTCATTAGATCTTGTGCTCCCCAACATTTTGGGATGTTTTTGTGTCCTCCTTTGTCAAGAAAGAACCAAAGTATGTATTTAATTTGTCTGCCATGTCTTTGTTCCCCTTTATAACTTCTATTTCTGATTATAAGGGACCTACATTTGTCTTCACTAATCTTTTTCTCTCCACATACCTAAAGAAGCTTTTACAATCAGTTTGTTTGTTCCCTGTAAACTTACTGTCTCACTCTACTCTCCCCGGCTTAATCAATGCCTTTGTCCTCCTTTGCTGACAACTAAACTTATCCCAATCCTCAGATCTGCTGCTTTTCTCAGCCAATTTGGTAGCCTTGGTAGCCTTCAGTGCCTTATTGACGAGGACATCTAGGACCTTTAGTACATCTACTTCTGCCAACCCCTCACTGTTTAAGGAATACTCTGTATGTCTGTTTCTCCTACGAAAGCAGATAACCTCTCATTTTTCTACATTATATGCCCACCTGCCATGTTCTTTCCCATTCACTAAGCCTACCAAATTGTCCTGAAACCACTTACAATCTTCCTCAGAACACATATTCTGACTTAGCTTTGTACAATCTCCAATCAAATCAAATTTGGAAATATTACATTTGATCCCTATCTTCAAATATTGATATATATTGTGTCCCTCACTAGTTATAGCCTACCAACATGAGAGTGGCATGTTTATTCCTACTTTCCATTTTCTGTTCCACCAACTCCTATCCCATATGTTTTACTTTTTCTAATCAGTCGCCTGTGGGGGAGTTTGTCGAAGGCCTTCTAAGTCTACCTTGTGCATCAACTCTCCTTTGTCAGTTTTATCGGTAATATCTTCAAACACTCAACAGTTCACTAAACATGATTTCCTATT